CTCATAGGTGAGCAGGCGCCCACTGTGCCCACTGGTGCCCACGCTTGCTTCGCGCCGTGCACGTGTTCGGTCCGCCTTGCGCGTCACCGTTCCACAGGATGCAGACCGGGCTGTCCCGCACCCGCACACACAGGAGAAGGGCTCGTTAGTCGAGACGGTGACCTCGCCACATACAGCCCTGTGGCTTTTTTCTGCCGGGAAACCAAGCGGGTTTAACCGGTGAGCTGAAAAGTACATGCCCTGTGGGCGCCGTTTGGGGGTCCTTGGTCAGATGCCGGCGTGTGTTTGCCTTGGTCCCTGAGACATCCACGTCCGTAACTCGGCGCGCTTGGGGCACCAGTGGAAGTGTGTGCTCGGAAGCTGCAGCGTCCGGGAGGAAGTTTGTTCCTGTTCGTGCTATTTCCCGCCTTGAGCGTGGGAGGGTTTTTTCCACCCTGAACATGAGAGGGTTTCCAGCTCTCCGTTTTCTCCACGTTAAATCTGTTCGCGTTTCTCCGGAACCGCACACGTGGCTGTAAAAACAACATAAACGTGTGCTGTGCTGAGGGGAGACAAGGCTTTGATCGTTCACAGGCGTTTGTTAGCCGTGACCTGCAGGCCTGAGATGATTTTTAATTACTAAAACTTAATCGTGTATAAAAATTTATTCTCCGAATGTTACTTAACCAGGAGTAAGGGTTTTCTCTCTTCTCAGTCCGTCTCATGTTCTGCTTTGTCACAGGAAGGGTGAGACCAGCCTTAGCACACCGCACTGCCACCTGGGCACTGACCGTCTTTCCCTGGTCTTGAGCCACGCACTGGGCTCCGTGGGAACGCCCCGCACGACCACCTGAGTGGGGCTCATCTGTGCTCTCTTGCTCCCTCTGTTAATTCCCTGCAAGACGACCCTGTTGCGGGAGAGTCCTTGACCTGTAGGACGGGTGCACCGTGTCTCTGACGTACCCAGCACCTGCGTGGGTCGTGTGTGGTCCAGCCCCGCAGGAATGTGGCTGTGCGGTCTCCTCGGCCACCGATGGGGGCGACAACACCCACCTCACGGGTTTGGTGGAAAAGAGGGCTCGTGTCACCCCATGCCAGCACTCCGCGTCATCGGGAGGTGTCTGAGCACGAGGACGTTGCCGCAGTGAGCCTGTCCAGGTGTGGGCCGCTTCTGTCCCAGACACTCTCCAAGTGCAGGTCAGACGTTTCCACAAAAGATGTTATCACACAATATCGTTGTTGTAAGGTGGCTGTTCTGACGGCTAACTCCTGTCCTGCCCTGGTCCTCCTCTCCCCTCAGGCCCTGCCTGCAGGTGCTCCCCGCCTCTGCCTGGGGAGCCGAGCTTCTCCACGGGAGCTTCTCCACGGTTCCCGGTCCCCCCTCCACAGGGGGTCCGGCTGTTTCCTGGGCCTGGGGGCCTTCGTCCCCACGGGCAGCAGCTGTCTCCTCTCTGTTTTTGCTTTTTGCGTCAAGCTGTCAAAGGGACAAAAGGGAACTTGGATGCAGGCCCAGCCCTGGGCCAAGAGCAGACCGTTTGCATCAGGAGGCACGGGAGATGCCTCGCGCTCGTTGCTTGGGAAACCTTGCGGCGCGGGCCACAGAGCTGCTCTGACAGTGCTCACGGTTAGGTTGGGTGACGCGTCATCGTGCCGGGGGAGCTGCCGCTGGTGAGCGCACCCTGGTGGGACACAGACTTCACCCCCCACCCCTCCTCTCACACTGCGGGCCTGGGGCCCAGCTGGGTGCCCGGGGGATGGGGCACAGCCAGCACTCTTCTGAGTTTCCTGAAGTAAGTGCGCTCAGAATCACTGCTGCTTTGGATAAACCTCCACTGTTCACCAGCAGCCGGGACGGGTGTTCCTATGCTGTAGGTCTGGGGGCCTGGGGAGCGCGGGCCGCACACGCATCGTGACCGCCTGGTGCGTCCCTGTGGTGCCTCGGGGCCCACCCACTCTTTTCCCCAGGCAGGGCTCATGGACGTTATTTCTGTCGGTGGTGTTCACAGTAGTTTGGACAATGGATACCCCTTTTTATGGGAATTAGATGGCCAGCTGACATTTTTACGGGCGGTGGTCTGTTTCATCTACGCCTACGTGTCATTTCTAAACGCGTCTCTGTTTTTGTCACCACTCAGCAAAAGGACAGTCATTCCAGAGGCCTCAGAGTAATTGTGCTTAAGATAGCTTTTGTTTCAGGACATCTTACAAATCCAAAATTAACCCTTTGCTGAGCTACCTGTCTCCTCAGGCTCATGTCTGCCCTGGTTTGGGCCCAACCAGAGCTTCTGGCCCTACAGATGGGCGCCCGGCGCCGGCCACACAGCCGCCGTGCTGCAGCCACGGACGCCGTCCCTGCTCCTCGGGGCTCCGGCCTCTCGTGTTCACTTTTCCAGCCTGAGCAGGCCCACCGATCACCTCAGTTACAGTCCCTGGTGTCTGTCTCAGAGCTTCTGTCCATTTTGAGTTTATTGGGTCAGTTGTGTTCTGATTTGGGAGCGTTTCTCTCCATTAGGTTACCTCCTGTGTTACCAGTTTGAAAGCGGGTTGTTTCATAGGTCTTAGGGTCACACGTGGCCTCGTCTCGCACATCTTTTCCTGACCTCGTGTGTGTGGCTCTGCTTGTGGTCTGTTCCGCCCAAACGAAGACTTTCTCATCTCTGCCATCTTTTGGGGGGTTTCTGGTCTTCTTTCAAACTGCAGGTTTCCCTGAACATAGGCGTGTATATACATACGTATTTCTGTCTACGTTTCTTCAAGTTTCCTTTTGACTAAATGGTGCTGCCACAGGTGTCCAGATGCAGAGTTCATCTCAACCCTGCCTCAGAAATGAACTCAGAGGCCGACTCACAACAGATTGCGAAGAAAACCTAAGTATTTGTGACCTCGGGTTACGTGGTCAGTTTTGTACTGATAGTCCAAAGACCTCACCATTCGGAGTGTGAGAAGCACAAATCTGTGCGGCACACGCCTGAGAAATAGATGCCGTCCGTGCTACGTAAAGAGCTCTCAGGACTGAACGCTCTGACAAACCAGCTCGTAAAATGGGGCAGGAGGTGGTCCACACCATTCGCCCCCAGAGAGAGCTGGGGGGCGTGAGCCGCTGCACGTGGGGCCCCCAAACAGCCCCTTCTTCTGTGCGAATGGGAGCCGGGCATGAGGTCCGCGGGCGGGACCCCCTCAGCAGGCGTGGCCACGAGCCCACCACGCGCCCGGATCGCACCCGGGAAGGGCACCTTGTGGCTCCTGTGCCCGAGTGCATCCTGGTGCTGCCGGGCTTCCCACGCTCCGCCAACACCGTGACGGCCCGGAGCGGAAAACAGCAGCCACGCACGCGCGTCCCACGAACTGCAGCGGGCCAAGAGCCTTGAGGCCACGCCGCCCTCCAGGGGGCCAAGGGCAAAGGAAGCCTACGGCCTAATGTTCGGGGTAATTTCCCTGAAGCATCCCTGTGTTCAGAAACCCTTTACACCGGTTTTGCTTGTATGTTTTCCAGAGATCTCCTAAGGGAGCAACCTTAGATCTTAATGGTCAGGTGCTGATAAGAGAAACCTACTTTGCGCTTCAGTGTTGAGCCCAGCTTGTTTTCTGTAACAGCGTAAACGTTTGTTTCCTTAGAAAATATTCAGCCGATGGGAAAATAATAGTCGTTTGAACTTTGGACTGAACGTGTGGCACTGACAAAGTGCTCTGGTGGGTCGGGCGAGGGCACTGCCGCCCTGGCGGTCACACACGCGGTAGAGCCTGGGGCGCGAGGGACAGCCCAGGGGGCTGCTCTTTCTGGGTGTCCTTGCCGGCCTCCCGGCAGGCTCCCGGCACCTTGTCTGCCGCAGGCACATCCTCTTCTTAGGTGGGACGGTGACCGATCAGCAACGTGTGTTTTGTTGGTTCCATCTGGTTTTGCTGGCGGTATTTCTCTTAAATAAATTGTACGCCTTTCCTTCCACCAGCACCGTGGTCTCCGATTTCCTGTATGCGTGTGGTTCTTTACGTTGTATGTGTGCTGCATGTGCCTCGGTATATACACGCGTGTGTGTGGCTGCCGTGTGTGTGTGTGTGTGTGTGTGTGTGCGTGCGTGCGTGCGCGTGCCAGAAAATCTTCAGGGCCTGCCTGTGTCCCCACCATCACAGCGCAAGAGACCGGGGGGCTGACTCGTGAGGCTCAGGTGCCCCTGTGTGAGGGGAGACCCAGGGCGGGCGCGTGGTCAGGCCGGTTTTCCTCGGCTTGGGGACACTGCTCGGGGCCAGCGGGCACCTCCTGGGGGAGTGCTGTGCTCGCCACGGGCCCCGTGCTGCGGAAATCTCGTGGGCACAGTCTGGTCTGAGTCCGCCAACTCTGTCCCAAGGACGGAGGCAGCCACCACCGTCGTGGCGTCATTGGTCATCAGGGTAATTCCTCTTAAGCCGCCTAAGGAAAGTGGAGTTTTCAGGCCGGACCGGGTGACGGTTCTGTCTGGTCCCCTGGGATGTGCCTTGGCTTTCGTGTCCGCAGAATGGCATTAGTAGTTCCCACGGCCGACCCAGCCTCTCCAGTCGTGCTTTGCGCATTTGTTCCCGTCTGGTTCTCCTCGGGGCCAATCAGAGGTGACAGCGTCTGGAGCTCTGGGGAGAAGGCATTTGCGAGGGCTCCCCGGGGGAGGGCAGGGGGCGGACACGGACAGCAGGGGCACGCCCTCCAGGCCTCCCACCCGTCCGCACTCCTCTCCCCACGAGCCCTACGGTTACGGGTGCTCTGTCACCTCCTCCGTGACTCCGTGACTATCGCTGCCAGGCCACCTCTGGATGCGGGGGCCTGGCGGCATGGGAACGGACAGAGCGTGTCCCGGGCCCTGCACGGTTTTGACCCCCAGCTCCAACTCCTCCTCGCACTGAAACTGTGACAGCGCTTTTGCATCGATGCCCCCACGGGACAGCGCCGCGCTGCGTGGGTGCGTCCCGAGGTGTGTGGGTGCTGATGCGCGTGTGTGTCCCGGTGTGCGTGTGCCTGCCCTGCGAGCGTGTCACGGCATGTGTCTGTCTTGCAGGGGCCACAAGCGGAAGCTGCCCGAGGAGGACACCGGCAGCGCGTCCAGCGGGGAGTCCAGCGGGGAGGACGAGGAGGGCAGCAGCTCGGAGGCGGACGAGATGGCCGCGGCACTGGAGGCAGAGCTCAATGACCTCATGTGACCTGCGGGGCGCTCAGCACACACACGCGTCTTGCTCTGGCCCCTGATGGCTCCCGGCCGCGCGGGCCCTCGGATGGGGTCTCCTTTTCTCCAGAAAGACGTGTATATTTGCAGAGCTCCACTTACAGAAACACGTAATTTTGCAGAAATAGGTGTTTTTAGAGGTTTTACTACGGAAGGTCTACTTTTCTAAGGGACAGTGTCCCGGGAGGCCGTGTGCCAAAGATGTTGCCACGCCCCTCGCAGCCTCTTGCGGGACGGGTAGGCAGGGCTCGGGGCGGCGGGGGCGGGTCCGGGCCAGCGCACGGGGCCTTCCTCCTCCGGGACACGGGTGTAAAGTTTTTGTATATCTATTTCGCATTTGACCCACCGAGCAGATTTCTCTTTCATTTAATAAAATTCCTTTTTATAAGCTCGTTCTTGGTGCGATGCCCACCCCGCTGCCTGTAGGGCAGGGGACACTGCGTGTCAGGTCGCTCCGGGTATCTGGTCAGGCCTTGGAAGTCTGCACAGGATAACAGACCACCTAACCTACCCTTCTAGGCCATTCCGTGGCTGCTAGTCAGGAGTTTCTGCCATTTAGGAGTTTTTCTAAAGCTTGTACCAAAGCATTAACAATGTAGAGGATCGTTGTTATTTATAGTCGCTAAGCTTCATGAGCCTCGGATCTAAGCCCAGAAAACAAGGCAGCTCTGATCCTGGCTGACAAGCTGGAGAACAGGGTTCATCGTAGGATGTGCCCCCCCCCCTTTCCCTGACAGCTTGATTGTGCATCATCCCTGTCCCTTGGGTCACGGGGTCTGACCCACCGGCCCTGAGTTCATGCAGCTGTAGGAAGAGCTGGTCCTGCGCCTGGTGGCCTTGTCTTCAGGTTCTGTTGTCCAGAGATGTGTGGGCAGTAGCCTTGGTCCACGATGCCCACGGGGAGGTGCTGGCAGTTAATTCGTCTTCACGCTCCCTTTGAAAGGGCCCCTTGGCACCCTTGCTGCTGGCGCTGTGTGGGCCCGGGGCTCTGGGCGACCCAGGATGTGTTCACGGCACTGCGGCCGATGCCTCCTTCGGTCCTGTGGGGAAGGCAGGCTGACCTGGGACTGGGGCCGGCAGCGTTACAACAGGTGCTGCTTAAAGACGGCCTTGTTGAATTAGCGTAGGAAGTGAAAGATGTCCCTTCTCCAGTCCCGATCCGTAGCACAAGCCTTGAGTCCTCCCTGTTTCCTAGACTAACTACTGAATCAGAAGTAACATGTCCGGTTTCGCTGTGTGCTGTGGATGTGGACTTCAGCTGCAGGTGACAGAACCACAGCTCCGGTGGGTTTGTCTCATTACATCCCTCGCTTGTCTGAGAAGCGATGAATGGAGCCTCAGGTATGGCCGGTTCTAGGTGTTCACTGCATACTCGGGTGTTGTCCAGAACCTGAATCCTCCTCCTTCTCTCTACTCGCACTCAGGAGGCCTGCACACTGGGCGTGATGGTCAGACCCCATTCGTGCTTCTGGTGACAGGCAGAGGCTGGGTGGGGGTATCACCACGGGTGCAGGACAGGGGCAGGCAGTTAGACGTCCAGGAATCAAAGCACCGTCACTGTCTTGTTCTCTTCAGCAAGGTAAGTGTACGTACATTTATTTGCTATTCTCCACAACAGCAGTAACCAAAGTTTCCAGGGCTGGGCTTGGAAGGCGAGGGCTGTCTCTGACGGCCCTGTTAGCACAGAAACGGAGACTGCGTAACCGGGAACCTGGTAAGTTTGAGATGTCTGAGATCTCCGTGAACACCCACGGTCTCTGAGGCCGTGGTTTCTAAAAGGGCTCAGTGCTAACTCACGGCATTGCTCACACTAAGTGGAAAGTGTGTCTGAGCCGAGGCTGTGGGGCTGTCCGTGGTCCTGGGCTGCTGGTTGCTGTCACACCTGGACGACACCGTGGTCTCTGCACACCCGGGAGGGTGGGTGACCAGCTGTGTCCATCTCAGCTGGTTGGCCCCCTCTTCGCAGGTCCTGGAGGGAGACCAGAAGACAGCTCCTCAGTGCTCAGAGGCCGCGGGGCCCCGAGTGCTCCGACGAGTGACAGGACAATGCCGGTGGTAGAATGTGAAGACCCAACACCCGGACCTGGTGTCACCAGCAAAGAAGGGCCGAGGCCCTGGGAAAAGGAGACACCGGTCCGGGGGAGGGGACGATTGGAGGCCCAGTTGCGAGCTGACCTGAGCAGGAAAGACACGGAGGTTGACAAGTCATCCCGAAGACACGTCTTCACCTGCTGGGAAGGGTGTGCCAGGGGCCGTGATGCTGGTCAGGACTCCGGGCAGCCCCGGATGTCCTTGTTTTCTGCTGGGTGGTAGTTTTCTCTGGGCACTTGGACTTGACGTGTCCGGTGATGTTCCCCAGAGCACGTGTCCGTGTGGGGACGTGCGCGTCTGCAGCGAGGCTCTGCTGTGGGGGACGCCTGGGGACCCGCTCAGCCCACGGCCTGGGAAGGTTGGGGGCGGCCAGGCAGGGGCAGGGCCTGCGGTGCCCTCTGTGGGGCCCCACCCACGGTGGTCTGCTCCCCATCATCTGGCCTCTGATGGTTTTGTCACTGTTAATGACGCATTTGTGCCCCAGATGAAGAGAAAATACGTCTTTAAACTGAGGACTCAAATCCTCCTCCCTCTGGGCACGTGAGTGGCCAGGCAGCTGACCAGGTCGGGCCTTCTCTTCAGAGGGGCAGTGGGGCCACCAGTCACCCCTGCCCTCTGGCTCCCTCATCCAAGCACACGCGTCTCAGGGGACCCCAGCAGCCGAGTCAACCATGTAGTTGCTTCAAATGCTGCTCTTGGGGCACCGGGGGGCTCATTCAGTTGAGTGTCCAACTCTTGATTTTCGCTCAGGTCATGATCTGGTAGTCTGTGGGTTCGGGCTCTGCGCTGACAGTGCAGACCCTGCTTGATATCCTCCCTCCCTCTCTCTGCCCCTCCCCTGCCGTCTCTCAGAAACAAATAAACATTAAGAAAAAAAAAATGTTTCGTGGGGCTCTTGCAGAGCCGGGCCGGGCGGTGGGAGGGCGGGCTGGGGCTGCAGAGAGGAGCACTGAGTGCACTCTGGTCGGGAACACATGGTCGCGAGCCTGCCTCCCCGAACATCGCGTTGGGGAACTCGGGTCCACGATGCGGCCGTGAGGACGTCCCTAAGCAGGAGATGGAAGGGAGAACTCCTTAGGTCCCCAGAAGTCTGCACAAGTAGATGATAAATTTTAGCCTTTTGTTTGCAAACTTTCAAAAATCTGTAACAGTGGAAATTAATGAAATTTTTATTTCTTGGGAAACAGTGTTGAAATTTTGCGTAAATATGAGTGGATCTGCTGTCCCATCTGAATTTCTCATGTTTAGAAAACAACCGTGAGCCTCCCCGTGTGCAGGCCAGCTCCCCCTGGAGGCATAGGCCGACCCGCCTGGGCCCCTGTGCACTGGCCGGAGGCTCCGGCCTGGAGGGTTTTATACTCCGAATGCCCTGGGAGTCACGCGGTTGTACACGAGAAGGGCACGCCTCAAGGTATGGGAATCGCGTGTGCATAAAGCTGTTAGTTTTACAACGAAATCCAAGCCAGCCAGCCAGCCAGAGCCTGCCTGGTATGCGCACACGTGTGTGCTCACGTTCAAGGACGCAGCCTGGTCTTTAAGCAAACCTTTTCTATTTTGAAAGTACTGTCCAGGTGGAAAACCTTTCAAGTACAGAAAAGGAAACAGGAGAAAACTCAACACGATCATCGCATCTAGCATTTTCTTTACTACAATCGTTTGCCTTGATTTTTAAAATTAATTTGTGACCTTTTAGCATATACACATGAAAGATGAAGAAAAATTGCTAGAATCCTGCTCCCAAAGTTAACCACATTGACATTTCAGTGTGCTGTTTGTCTACCTATGCATATTATTTTAATAGACTTTAGTTTTTAGAACAACTTAAGGTTAGAGCAAAGTTGAGGGGAAGACGCAGAGACCTCCCTTAGATTCCTGGTTCCCACACACGCGGAGCCTCCCCATCAGGATCCCCAGCAGAGTCACGCATTTGCCACTGCTGACCCACGCTGACCCACCAGAGTCCCCCAGAGTCACAGTTTGCATCAGGGTAACCGGGTGGCCATCCCATGGGTTTGGACAAATGTATGATGTCATGAGACCACCAGACAGCATCACACGTAGTTTTGCTGTCCTTCCCCCAAGCCCGTCCCCTGACGCCCCCCTACCCACCCCCCCCCCCGGGTTCCTACTGTCTACATAGTGTTGCTTTTCCCAGTGTGGCCTTTCGCCATGTGCAGCTTCTCACACTGGCCTCTTGAGCTCGGTGCCATGCGTTCCAAGTGCGTCTATGTCTTTTCATCATCGATGTCCAACACACAAAATCCAGATTGTGGGAAATCAGACAGACAACCTGGTTTCTTCAAAATATAATTTGTAAGAAAAAGAAAGAAGAAATGGAGGGAACCTCGTGGTTAGAGACCCAAGAAGCGTATCAACCCATCCCCGCGCGTGGGCTTGTTGGGTTACTAATTGAGACGAACGGGAGTCCACACAGACAGCTGTACACAGCTGATGTTTATGGAGTATTCACCTACTTTAGATGATGTGCTTTTTTAAGAATCCCTATGTTTTGTTCATTTTGTTTTGCTTTTTTTATTTTTTCCACTATTTTTTTATTTCAATGCAAGTTAGTTAGCATATAGTGTAACAATTATTCCAGGAATAGAATTCAGTGATTCATCACTTACAGAGAACAGTCAGTGAAGAGCCCCTGTCTTTTAGAACTACTGAGATATGATGGCAATGATAGGATGTCTGGGATTTGCATCAAAATGCTACAAGACAAAGGGGGGCACACGGAGGTATTAAAGGACAGAGCACGTCGGGGTTTATCAGCCGTGAGGCTGGAGTTCTGTGTGTGTGTGTGTGTTTGAAATGTTCCATAAAGATGCACAGAATGAGGCTCCTTTGCAATAAAAGGACCAGGGCCGCCTGTGCACCCGGGAG